GTGAAGTTCAGCACTGTTTTGAGAAGAGTCGCACTCCAAAAAAGTGAGGCACTTTGGATTTGAGGGCTTCTGGGCTTGCGGGTTTTGGATTAAGGCTTGGGTTCAAACTTCGAAGGTTCAACAGGCAGATCTGGATCGGCCTAATCAGAGCGGCCGATTCTAAACAGTGGATGGAGATTGAACCGATTGCAGTAGACTCAGTAGACAAGCTGTGTCTTGTACAGAAAGACGGGGCAATCCTCTTCCAACAAGGTGGCCTGTCAGCATGCTCTAAGCGAAATCAGGGACTCCGATGTCCAACTGCGAAAGCCGCTTTAAGACCGTCAGGTGGACTTGCAGCTGTTGGGTGTGCAGCTGTGCTTTGTTCCGAGGAAGGGGGCAGACTTCGCCAAGTCCACGAAATAATTTCTGGGCTGGCAAAGGTGCCACTTGGCTCAGAGCTTCCTGGGTCCGCGCTTGAGCCTTGCATGGGGATGTTGTATGTTCCTTTCTCATGGCTTGCTGCATGTTTGAACGGCTTCGGAAATGAGAATGTCTTTTGAGGTGCTGGGTTTTAGGCTTTAGGTGTAGGGTCCCCAAACACAAGAAGAAGCCGAAAAGGGTTTAGGGGTCCCTCAACTGTAAACCCAACTCCTTGGCAGACCTACGCCTGCGTAGCCGCAAGAGCAGCTGCCGACTGCTTTCAACCTTTGGCCGGACTTGGGGCCGGAATCGCCTGTAGTTACTATTGGTGGTGATCGTATTATGGGCAATATTGGGTACTTATGACCCATGGTATGCATAATCTTATGAAATGACGAGTTGTCATAAGAACTTTCTTATAATGCGAGTCTGCATCCTTATCAGCGAAAGTGTATGCAAAGCTTAGTTTTCCCGACCTGGACGGCGATGACACATTGCCCGGCCATCCCTTCTGCACACGAAAGCCATACTTGAAGGACTCCCCCTGTCAGCACTTCCATGAGTGGGCCTCGTTCTCAGCTTCAGAAGAACCATTGATCCTGATGCGCTCCAGCTAAGGAGTCGTGCTATACACGACTGCATCCTTGCAGAGTGGTGACATCCGGCCCTTCTGTTTCTGGCCCATGCCATGCCGGCTATCACAGGGAAACCGGCCATGTTGGTGTGTGACAAGGAAAAAGCATGCTGAACGATATTGTTGTGAATGCACATGAAGTCGATAGTTGGTTGACTTGTTCCCCCCACCCATGGCGGTGGATAATCGACTAACAGGAAAGCTGTGCATCAACGTAGTGCTGTAGCCTTCGCCTTGTGGATAGCCTGCAATGACGTAGTCAACACTTCTGTTAGAGCAAGGGTCAAAGACCGCCTTTGTACAGCGGGCAGCATGCAAAAACAGCGCAAGGTCATTGCAGGGTGGGGTTTGACGGTAGCGCATCTGCGATGTGGGACCGACAACGGCGGAAGGCCTGCAAAAGGGAGAAGCAACCGCACCACATTCAGCCGCACACATCCGACATAACCCTAAATCCACGCCAAGCACCATGAACCGAGAAGCTCTGGTTGCAATCGCGTCTTAAACTACAAGAAGATGATCCTCGCTGAAGTTCGAGTTTAGGGCTCAGGCGGTTTAGGGGTTACGGTTAGGCCCACAGAAAAGCTTTTGCCTGCCAGCCCTGGCTTTGAAGAGGCATCCCGGCAGTGCTTTCGCACTTGCACTCTCTGCGGAGGCCGATCTGTGAGGGCTCATGGCACGACCTTTCTGGGGTTCAGAAAGCTTGCAACAGGAATTCGAATGGCAAGCACAAAACTCGTGGCAGGAACAGCATCTCATGTCTCATCATGGTTATTGTAGCTATCAGACAAGCTCCTGCCGTTGCCGCTGCTGCTGCTGCTGCTGCTGCTACTAACAAGGAGGAGGTGGAGGACAGCGACGACTACTACGACTAAAGCCACATCTACTGCCGCTAACTCCTGCTCCTGCTGCTGCTGCTGCTGCTGCTGCTGCTACTGCGTTTGCTACTGCGTTTGCTGCTGCCGCTGCTGCTGCTGCTGCTGCTGCTGCTGCTGCTGCTTCGGATTCAGATGCGCATTTGATTGTCCGGTTAATATAGGGCCTTAAGAATTGGAACAGTGTTTGGGGTCTATTGTACCATATTTATGATAAGGATCACCCAAAACCCTACTCTACTTGCCCCTAGAGTAAGCAGAGGATCTGAGTGGTGGGAGTTTCTATCTTCAGTCTGTTAAATTTACTGTTGAGGCTGAAGGGCTGGTATACCCTAAACCCCTGAACCCTAAACCTCACACCCGCTTAATGTTCAGACTTTCTCTGGGACCTCAGGCGAGATCCGGAGATCATTGAGCTGCTTCTGACGCAGGGCCACCAAGCAGTCATCACAAGTCTTTCCGTAACCCCCCAGGTACCTACTAGATAGGGTACTAGAGCCCCTAGGGCCCTATATAGTAGGTACCTGGAGGGCTAGGGTTTGCTGAAGTTAGGAGGGTTTTCTTATACGGTCTCTACAGGTTTCTCCAGAGCTCATCATGACGAGGTCTCCCAGGCGGTGAACTGATGTAGCTTGCTTGATGTCGAAACTGTGTACGATTCTTCAGATTTGGAACCTTACAGATGAAGGGTTTTAGGGTTTAGGGTCTAGGGTTTAGGCAAGGTCCTGCCTAAAACTACTCCCAAGGTATCGGGGAGGAATTCGAATGTAGGCTACAACGGGTTGCTTCTGATTCAAGCACCTACGCATCTGCACCACAGAGGTTGACTACGTTGCCCCTAACTCCACCCTAAACCCTAAACCCCTAAGCCCCTAAACCCTAAACCCCTAAACCCCTAAACCCCTAAACCCTAAACCCCTAAACCCTAAACCCTCTGGGTCAAAGGCGACCCAGACTCGATTCCAGGAGGCCTCCCCTGCACCCTTTTCTCTCTGGTTCTGAGTAGGGAATGGGGGAATGGATCCCTATGGTAGTCCCTTAAGGTCCCCTTCAGCAGTCCCAATAACCCATTCCGCCATTCCCTACTAAGAACCAGGGGGTTTTCCCCAAAAGACCATCTGTGTTGAACGCTGTAGGGTTTAGGGCTTACGGCTTAGGGCTTGGGGCTTAGGGTTTAGGGTTTAGGGCTTAGGGCTTAGGGTTCCCCTTCTCTAGGGTTTAGGGTTTGGGGCTTAGGGCTTAGGGTTTAGGGTAGGTAGGGCTGCCTGCCTTAATAGCCTGAGAAGTGAAGGAAAAGACCAGCAATAGCAATGACGGCGAGGATTTCAGTATTGAGAACACCTCTTTGCAGAGCAAGGCGAAACAGTATCCAGCAACAAATACATTTCCCAAGAACGTTTCTGGCGTACTACCAGGGCACCTCGAAAGTTTGGACAAAGCTCCGTCGCTCAAGTCTCAACTGTGGCCCAGGCAAGGCTTCATCGTTTCAGAGGAGCTGATGGGCATCAACGTAGGAAGCATCATCGGGCTTCTGTGAATTTGTGGAAAAATCCTACTATAAGCATTGACGTCATGATTGCGTTATTGTTGACGTCAGCACTCCTACCTATATTATAGCTGCCGTCACAAGATTGCAGGGTTCTGGAAGATGTAATCCGCAGCCCGGCGATATGCCGACACTTCTCTGCAACACGCTATAGCCTCCAGGTGATATACTAGTGGTCATGCACCCGAACTCCCTGTAAGCCCTAAACCCTAGACCCTAATCCCTACCATCCAAAAGAAAAAGGGCTACTTCCAAGGCTTCTATAGGGGTACCACACGGGTTCTGGGCTGCCTCTCTCGGGTGTTCTTAGGACGTTGTTCATATTATGTCTTTTAATATTCGTTTAGTTAGATTAGATAGAATTGTATTCTATACATACATACATACATACATACATACATAAATACATACATAAATACATACATACATACATAAATACATACATACATACATACATATATATATATATGTCTGTATATATATATATGATAGTGATGGCAGCTTCTTGGATGGAAGTTGGCATTTCATTAGCTCCCGGAGGTTTTGGACCGGAAAGGCCCGGGCTTCACTTTGTTGAAGAGGTCAGGATTTCACTGATGTGTGTTGGGTTTAGGTTTTAGGGTTTAGGGTTTAGGTGAGACCTTTCGAAGTTCTTTATTTTTTCTAGCAGATGCTTCTCTTCGAGAGGTCTTTCATTTTAGGAGGTATGAGTGTCGGCATTCCCAAGCTCGAGCTGAAGCAGCGTACCATAGCTTCATAAGTGCGACCGATACGGCTATGATCACATCGATCAATGCATGACGAACCCATTATCACCATTACTACTGTTCCTGCTCATGATTTCTGTTGGTTCTTCTTGCTATTTTTCGGCCGGAGGAGCTGGGTGATGCCTTTCTGGCACGGGTGTTGGAAGCTTGGCGCTGCTCTCAGGCTGACAAACGAAGTTTCGACTCTATGACGGACGGGTTGGGGCTTTATAGGGCTCGTCGTCAAAATTGAATCCTAATCTCCCAGCAGCAAATCAAAAGCGCAGGGAAAAGTCGGTTCGACCGTCCGACCGTGTTCTGGATATCGGTGCCAGTGGCGACAGAAAGCCAGGTCCCAGCTCGTCCCTTATACTTCTTTGTTATAGTGACTTATCGCAACCTTTACAGTAGCGCTTTGTAGTATCCCGTATATACCGCATATAGTCATATAGTAGCCTATAGCTATAGGTTATCTTCAAAGTGACTCTCCAATCTTTTCGGGATTGTTGTTTTACCCGCCGGAAAATGCATGGCTACACCAGCGGGGACGCTGAAGGAGTCTTTCGCTGCCTGCGTGAGCCAGCCAGCAGGTTCGAACCGTTGCAGCTGGCAGCTTTTGGCTTGAGAAGCTCTTGCCAAAGAGCGCCACCATTTGTATGTGGACAGTTACTTCCCGAAAATAATGTTCTGACCGCAAGCATGGCACTCTAAGCCCAGCAGCCAGGCCCCACTCCGCACACGTCTGAGTCAACTGAGCTTTTGTTTTCGCCTCGTCGACCCTGGTGGCTCGGTCCGCCATGGCATCCTTCACCGCGGAGGAAGTGGCGAAGCACTGCTCCGAGGGCGATCTTTGGATTGTCATCGACGGCGATGTCTACGACCTTTCAAAGTTTGCCTCGCTGCACCCGGGTGGCATCCCGCCGTTGCTTGACCCAGCAGTAGCCGGCAAAGATGCCACTGAGCTTTTCTTCGGCCTGCACCGCGCTTCGGTCTTGAAGGAGCCGAAGTATGGGCGCTTAAAGATCGGCACGCTCTCCGGTGCTGCTGAAGCAGCAGCGAAGGTGACGAAAAAGAAGAAGCCAGCGGGGCAATCCTCGGTGCCAGCTCATATCCCATATGGTGAGGCCATGGGAACTTGGCGTAAATTCTCGCCTTACTACAAGGAGTCTCACGAGAGGCTTCGTGCTGCCGTGCGTGAGTGCATGGATAAGGAGATCAAGCCACACTGCAAGGAATGGGATGACAATGGCACGCTCCCCACCAGAGAGATCGACATCCTGGTGGGAAGGGCTGGCATTTTTGCGGCGCTCGTCGCCGGCGAAGAGGGTGCTGCAGAACTTTTCGCGCAGCACGGTATCTCACTGCCAGGCGGCATCAGCGCCAAGGAGTGGGACTACTTCCATGCATTGGTGCTGAATGAAGAGATCCGTCGCGGTGTCAACGGTTGCTACGGCGTAAGCGACGGCCTCATCGGCGGCGTTTCCATTGGCCTTCCGCCATTGCTGAAGTTCGGCACCAAAGAGATGATAGAGAAATACGCAGTGCCGATCATCAAGGGAGAGAAGCGCATCTGTTTGGCTATCTCCGAGCCGTATGCAGGCAGCGACGTGGCCCAGATTCGTACCACTGCTGAGATGGCCCCAGATGGCTCCTGGCACGTCAACGGTGTGAAGAAGTGGATCACAGGAGGCATGGTGGCTGACTACTTCACCACACTCGTTCGGACTGCAGAACATGGCCCCTGCATGTTGCTCCTCGATCGCGGAGATGGCTCAACGCTCTCAACCAAGCCGATCAAGACCTCCTACTCCCCTGCGGCCGCCACTTCTTACGTGGAGATCTACAAAAACGTCGTGCCGAAAGAGAACCTCATCGGGAAGCCAGGCATGGGCTTCATGCAGACCATGGCGAACTTCAACTTTGAGCGTTGGGGTTTCTAGGGGGCACATTGAGAAACTTTATGATTTTTCGTACGGCCCTAAATGGCCCAAAAATTGGACGTACAACCTCATGACTACTTTTTGGGCGGGCCGCAAAACTACGACCAGGTATGATTGTCTGCGGTAATCGCCACTCGCGGATGGTTCTGGATGAGTGTCTCAGATGGGCTTTGTCACGCAAGGTCTTCGGCAAGGCACTGATCCAGCAGCCGGTAATCCGCTACAAACTGGCGGAGATGGCGGCCGCAATTGAGTCTCTGCACAGTATGCTGGAGGACGTGACACGCGCGACAATCCTAAACCCTAAGCACAATTAAAACCATTATGTTGGAGGACTTGACATGCCGGCTACCCCCAAACCCCAGACAGGTAACCTTAAACCCTGATGTTGGAGGAATTGACGGGCCAGAGAATCCTCAATCCTTAATCCCCCAGCCCTAATCCCTTATTGGCATACCAGATAACCCCAATCGCCGATGTTGAAGGAATTGATCCGCCAGATAACCTTCAACCCTAAACCTCAACCCGGTATTATGTTGGAAGCCTTGTCGTATCAGAGAAGCCGAAACCCAATCTAAACTCTTGTGTCGCAGGACTTGACCTACCAGATGAACAACATGAGCACAAGTGAGATAAATCGGGACCTAGCGGGGCCCATTGCCCTGCTCAAGTACAAGCAGACGCGGGTGGCCACCGTCGTCAGCGACAACGCCTGCCAGATTTTCGGTGGCCGTGCCATCACCGCATCAGGCATGGGCTTCATCGTCGAGAAGTTTCAGAAGAGTTTTAAGTTTCAGGCCATCCTGGGAGGCAGTGAGGAGATCATGGCTGACTTTGCCATCCGCCAGGCCATGCGGCAGACGCAAGACATGCCAGCGAGGCTCTAGTGAGTGCAGTGTCAGAGCTCCCAAGCTGGAAGCGAAGAATATAGGGGTTGGAGTAACTAGTAATCGTGTTTCCGTACATATGACCCCCCATATAAATGATACAATGTACCCGACAACCCGAGTTTAATCATACAGGCCCCAGCAGGGGTTGAGGGTTCAGTGCATAAGACACGATTTGACCTGCCTGGCATGTGAGAAGAAAGCTGCAGGCTGTGCTGTTGTCACTTGCTCATGACTTCCCAACATCACCCAGTTGAAGTTTAAGCAGCTCGGCAACCTCTGAGAATCAGGGTTGTGCCCTGCATGTTTGTGATGGTAGTCACCCGACACTTCATCGTGACTTTCCGAGGTCAAGGTACGGCCTCAAGGACGAGGCGCGCAGTGCTCGCATAGAGTCGACAAGATCTGGAGTGAGAATGCCGGCCAGCGCCAGTCCCGAGAACCAAGCCAGACTTGACTAATTAACGGGATGCGAGCTGCAGGGATTCGGTTTTGCTGGTTTCAACAAAGAGAATGTTGCACTCTCCACTCCTGTCATGAAATTGTGCATGACAGGCAGCAAGACTTACACTGTAGACGAAAATGCGCATGCCGCTGATTCTCTACGGCAGTCACGCGAAAGCAGTAGTGAAAATCACATCTGGCAGCACCTGAGAAGCAATTCGACAATGCTGCTCCTGGAAGGGTCCAGTCAACAAATGGTAGTTCTCTAGATTAGGGTCCCCTTTTTTGGTCCACCAAACAATACGGCACCCTTAGAAAGAGGACCCTCAAAGGGACCCTAGTTTACAAAACTACCCAAATAGCCTGCCATGACCGAACTCCCTGAGCCTATCGAAGCCGCAAAGATGAACAGGAAGTTCGAGATCGTGCTGAAGCTCTGGCAAGCCAGATCATGGCGTGGCCGGCGCAGTTTGCATTTTGGCGTTTGCGGCTGTGGCTTTTTCGGGCATGGTTCGCTGTACAAGCAGGACTCCACTTCGGAGCTGTCCCATGATGTCCGAGATGGCCTGAACGTTGGCAGCCCAGTGGGTCAAAGGGCTGCAGCATGCCATGAGCATTGGGATCGAAAGAAATTCAGATCAATAGACACGAAAGATTAGGAGATAATAGGAGTATAGACGCCGCTAAATTTAAATACAAAGAGATAGCCGTATTCGTGGCCGGTAATATACTTTGGTGGAGACGAAAGCAGTACTGGGTTTCCGTAACAGAATCCGCATTGACTTTGCCGACACATTCGACAAAACCGTATGAGGTGACATAAGAAGGCAGAGGCAATGGGATGCCGGTGAAGGCGGCTAAGGTAAGAAGAGTGGTCACTTGCAGATGAAGTTAATAAAGTTAAAAGCCCTATACCATCCTATACCCCAAACCCGAAAACCCCACACCATCCTCCTATACCCCAATCCCTATAGACCCTAGTCATTGGAAGGTCTTTGCGTGTCTCCTGCGCTCGCCGGGGGGCTCGCCAAAAGCGTCGGCGCTCGAGGAAACGTTGCCGCTCTCGAGCTTTCGGCCCTAAAGGATTACAGGCTCAGGGCTGTAGTTTAGGGCTTAGGGCCCTTGGGGTTCAGGGCTGTGGGGCTTAGAGGGCTTAGGATTTTGCGGGAGAAGACTTTGCACCTCTAGGCCCAAGCACGAATAACCCAGATGTTTCAGGGTTCCTTCTTGATGACTTCTCTGTAAATTTCTGAAAACAGGTACGTTGTTGTTGCTAGCCAGAGCAATTTAGGAAACGGTCCGCGGTCTCAACATCGGTCTGGTAGAGAAATATCAGGTTAAGATTTTGGAAGGTCCAGGGTATTAGGGCGTATATGGCTTGGGCTTTTGAGGTTTATTGTGCCGTCAGAATGTCATATTCGTTGTTTGTTGTTGTTTGCTATGCTGAGGCTAGCTTGATACTAAGGTGTTGGTAAGTGCATGCTGCCACAACAGTAGCAGTAGTAGCAGTAGGAGGAGTATTCAGGATGTCACCGATCACAGGGTCTTTGCGAGTGTCAGAGAACACGAAGAAGGACCCGAATACAGACTCTAAGTAGTGCGATCCTGAGTCTAAGGCCCTTGCAAAGAGACTCCTGACTTCCCCGAACCCTAAACCCCAAACCCTATAAACCCTAAACCCCCTAAACCCTATACACCCTAAACCCCCTAAAGCCTAAACCCTAAATCCCTAAACCCTAAACCCCCGAAGCCCCGAACCCTAAACCCCAAACCTTAAACCCTAAAGCCTGCACCCTGAGCCCCAGTTTCCCGAAGCCCGATAGAAAGTGACCTCTCCTGTCCTCTCCAGAACCATCTGGCTGGAACACTGCAGAGAGCCAGCTACAAGGAGGAGAGGACGGTATTAACGGGCTTATGTAAGGGGATGACGGTTTCTAGGGGTTTACATATGGGGTTTAGGTTTCAAAGGGCTTAAAGACAAGGAATAAGAGGTCCGATTGGGAGAGTTGTTGTGGATGTTTATGATTTATGGAGATGTCCTTCTGCTTTAGGACGTGGAAATATCGAGAGTCTGAGCTTTTGCCAAACAGCGCGGCAACGTATTCACTTCCATTCCAGACCTTTCAGCCAACAACCCTAAACCCTAAACCCTAAACCCTCAAACCGTAAGCCCTAAACCTTAAACCCGAAACCCTAAAACCCTAAAGCCCTAAACCCTAAAACCCTAAAACCCTAAACCCTAAACATACAAACCCTAAACTTGGAGTCTAGGTAGTAGCTCCGCTCTACATGCGGGCTTTTCAACTCAGGGCCCTGAGTTCTGCACCCGAAATCCACTGGGTCCAAAGCGGTGTCCCCAAAAAACAGCATCATGGGTTTAGGGTTTAGGGTTTAGGGTGCAGGATGCAGAGTTGTAATGTAGGGGCCTTAATAATTAGAATAGGATTTTCGGCGGCTCCTTATCATAATTACGGTATAATAATATAATTGCCTCCAAACCCTATTCTGATGAATGAGGCACCTATATTCTGCTTTTTGTGGGGTCAGTATGGGGACTCAACACCAAACTCTACTGCTTTGTTCTAGCTGCGCAGGCCCCCCCCATATTCGGGTAATCATAGCCTCCAGCACAAATCAGAAGCCTTCTGCCGGTTTGGGGTTTGGGGCGGTTTGGGGGTCGAGACTTAAAGCTCTATGCTAAAGCCCTAGAAACCCTACACCCCTAAACAGCCCGAAGCCCTCAACCTTAAACCCGAAATTCCAAACCCTAAGGCCGTTAAAACCTAACCCCTGAACCTGACAAAGCTTAAGGCCCCAAAGAGGCACAAAGACTGTAGCAGGGAGGAAACGAGCCTTCAACAACAAAAAAAGCCACAATACCCCCAAAACCCCAAAAAGCCAAGCCCCCGTGGCTGCCAGGCCATTTCCTCGCTCCAGTGGATGCGACGCCTCTCCGTGCGGAGCGCTCGGACCCCAAGTATGGCTGTACGGCTGTAAGAGCTGAGCCTACAGGATTGAGAGTTTAGGGTTCAAGAAGTTGGGTATGCAGGTTAAGAGTTGAGGGTTGAGCTCTAGAGATTTCTGGCCTCTTGGGTCTTGGGCAGTGTGACTGTAGGTCACAGGCGTTCGGGCAGTCTTGCTGGATTCGCCATAAAAGAAAGGGTCTAGATCACACCCTCCGGCCGGCGGCTGCATGGGTTCCCTGCACCGAAAAAGGCCCGCGGCTCTTCTGCTTCTGCTCAGGGACCATCAATGAGAGGGCTCCTCGTGTTTCTGAAGAACCTACTGTTGATGATCTAAATCCTGCTTTACCTTAAGGGCCCTAAACTATGGGAATTATGGTATATTCCTTATTATGGGTAATGGAGGATTTATACCATCAACAGTGTGAGTTCGGTAGGCCAGGCAGGTTTTTCCGGTTGCTCAACGCCTCGGATCCGATTTGCTTCGGTAGGCCACACGGAGCCCGAGCCTAACTGCCACCAAGAAGCCCTGGGACCGGAAAGCATCGAGAGCTCAGACCCTACCTGAAGCTACCATTTTCGTACTTCTTGGTAGGCTATTGTTCTCAGCCCTAGTATAGAAGTTAAGGGCGCCCTGCAAAGAAGTAGGACTTTGGCAGGTTCAGGCAAACCCCAAACCCTAAGGCCTAAAACCTTAAACCCTACGCCCTGAAACCCTAAACCTTAAGCCCTAAACCCCAAACCCTAACCTCCTACACCCTATACCCTAAAACCCTAAACCCTAAACCCTAACCTCCTAAACCCTAAAAACCCTAAACCCTAAAAAACTCTAAACCCTTAAGCCCTAAACTATTAAACCCTAAACTCCTAAAACCTCCTAAACTCTAAACCCTAAGGACCGAACCCGAAAGCCTCTCAGACCTCTGATCCGAGGCTCCGCTCTGGAAGGCCCGGGGGCCTACAGGTGTAGTGTTTCGGGTTTAGGAGTTTAAGGGTTTCGGAGTTTAAGGGTTTAGGAGTTTAAGGGTTTAGGGTTTTGGAGTTCAAGGTTTAGGGTTTAGGAGTTGAAGGGTTTAGGGTTTAGGAGGTTAGTGTTGAGGGTTTAGGAGTTCAAGGTTTAGAGTTTAGGGTTTGGGACCTGCAGCCTTAGCTTTTGACCAAGGAAGATCGAAGCGCTTAGGGGTTTAGGGTCTAAGGCTTAGGGTTTGGGGTTTTGGGGGTTTGGGTCTGCGCCTTCCGCTTCGAGGTTGACTGGAGACGTGGAGTGCGGGTGTTTTCGGAGGGTTTAGGGTTTGTAGAGTTGAGGGTTTGGGTGCCCGGATCTTTTGCTTGCCGGGCACGGCTTACACAAACTGCCATGGACAACAAAGCAGTCATGCCGTGCATGGAAGCCAATGGTTCATACGGCTTCCAGGAATACTTAGGGCAGATGCTGAAGTTTCGGGATTCCACGTCACAGGCCCCCTGCCCCCCGTTGCCCCCACCCCCCCTTGAACGGCAAGACTGGCAACAGCAGCACCAGCAACAACAGCAACAACAACAACAACTACTAAAACAACTACAACAACAACAGCGCCCCTGAGCATGCGTCGC